ATCTTCATCGGAATTTTTTCTTGACTGAATGCAACAAATTTGTGATGTTTTTCTCTTCATGCTGTCATCATAGCCATTGCAGTAGAAGCCACGTGAGGATTTATTACACTTGCACCATTAAATCCAAAGGAGTGCATTGAGCCACTTACATCCATGGCTAGTACGTAACTTTTTCCTGATGGTTCAACATTCTAAAATTGTACAAAATAACTTGAAAATGAAAGACAACAGGGTTAGGGTTAGGGTTAGGGTTATTCTTCCTTAAAAATCAAAGAAGCAATCCATATTAACAAAAACTAACCCTGACCTCGATGTTTAAGTTTTTAAATTCAATACAATATTAAGTTTATAATACGCTCGGATGCTCCCCTTTAATTTATCTTATTTCCTTTTTATTGTTGTAATTTATGTATCATATTACATTCATATAAACCTTGTATGATTTATTATTTCACTTATACTGAACATGGCATCATGAGATGTCGAAACATGCCTATCTTAAAAAAACTTGTCGTGTATATTAAAATTGAAAATGAAATGTTTTTACCTCTTTGGAATTAAGCCAAAGTGTTGGAATTTGTTCTCGAACAAGATTATGTTGATTTATTAGTTCAATCACTCCTGCCTCCTCTTGCAATGTTTTAATTCTTTAACTGCCTTAAAAAACACCAACATTGCACTGCCATTCTCTCCAAAAGAACGACGTAGAACTGTCTTATGTCCAGAAAAGAATATTTCAAAAACCCCTTCCAACTATGAACAACATACGTCATAATAACAAACAATTCATGAGAGACATCACTTCCTTCTGACTTAAGATGCATTAACCTTGCAACATCCCTATGTGACCATCCTTCACGCTTCTGATATTTGGTGATATCCATGGCCGATTTCCATGGGTGCTTTCTTTTGTACCAAAGTTTTATTGCATTCCTAACGGCACGACTCCAACCAGAGCCAGACTGACTTAAGCATTTGCAGAATTTATAAACATAAACAAATGAGTCAGAATTTGACAGATCTTGGGTAAAGCATTTTGTGCTTTTCTTGTCATGGCTAAATCTCCTTTCCGGCACAAACAGCGAAAGAAAACACAATGGCCTGCTGCCTTGGTGCTCGTCCTTCAATGCTATACTTCTCTATTTCATTGACAACTTCAACACCCCTTCCTGCTTCCAAAAGATTCACGACGACTGTCGCATTTTCTAGGCCAAATGTTCTTTCAAAACATTAACTTAATTTATGTTACAGTAATAGTTAAGCCATCATGCAACGTGGTTATCATGTGGGTTACATGACTGTTTACCGCATATTGCAACATTTACTGAAATCTTATAACTTGATTTAAATGCTATGAAGACACTGTTATAACATCCCTTAATGTTATAAGTGTCATTCATAGCATTTAAATCCAAGTATACGTACATAAAGTAACGATTTATTTAACGTCGATACTTGACAGCTTGCTTGACTTATACGGTAATCACTTCAAATAGACCTTGAAGTTGTGAAGATTTTTCAATACTCTGCCAGCGTAATGCAACTTCTTTTTGTCACTGTATTTGATCAAATATAAATTCGATGTTATTTTAATATTATATGCATGATACAAAATGATACAAAACTTTAGAAAGCTCAAAAGACGCATCTTCATATTAACATGCTAACAAACATGTCAAATAAATGATCTGTACAAAGATCGTTTTCATCTAACGTCATTGCTGCCATGTTGGTGTACTAATTGAAAAGAATTCTAATGAAATTCTTTTGTTTGGAAAACCAATATGGCAGCTTCCTCCAATGGCATGTTGATCCCTGGGGAATGAATTGAAACGATCTGTATGACATCTCAAATTATCCATTCAGATTTCTAAATTTATCACATTTGTGAAATCATTCACTTCACTGCCATCTTTACGGCCTTTATCATCCCTGATTACAAACCTTTCATCATCTTATCATTCACTTTTTGAAATAGTGATTTTAAAACTGAATTACTTAGCTGATGATTCATGGTTGCAATTAAAAAGATGATTTTCATATCAATTGAGCAGTTTCAATTGCCAACGTCACACAAGGAGATTGTGAATTAAAATCATTATGCATCACAATCAATTACTCTACAAACACCTGCTTTTATCAAAACTATTTGCTAACTTTAACATAATCTAAAAACGACATCTTTGATAACTGAGATATTACCGCCAAGTGACCACGATTTCGCACCAACATCTTTCGAAAGATCCAATATTCCTTATCTCCACCTTCTTTAGGGATTTGCCTAGGAAATTCTTTTCTCTTCAATCAAATCAAACGCCATGAAATGAATTTTTCTAGCCGAACTTTTTAAATCATTTGCTTTAACGTCACTGTCGAGAACTGGTTTTCCCAAATTTCCTCAACACAGCGAAAAACTTACTTCAATTACAGCTTGAGATCCTCACTCGACAAATATCAATCAGATAATAGCAGTCGCGTCATTCAATGAAAATATTTTATCGATATCTACCAACATTATCAGAGTTTATGATTGGTTCAAAGTACAATAAAGAACAATACACTATTGTTCAGAGCTATTCATTGATATTTACTATTAAAGTAACCCAATTATCATTATTATTCTTGACATGCTGGTCACTAATAAGTCCTTTCACAAAATGTTCATGCTTTCAAAATATGTGTCTCATCTTAGATGTGCAAGGCTACAAGTCGTCCTTTATCTATTGAACTTACCCTTACTCTAATAAATTTGTTAAAATTATGTGGTTTGTTCTATTGTCACTTGGTAACAATTATCATATTTTTGAATAAATATTAAAGTTTCAAACTGCTCAATGACACGTTTGAACGGCTATCATTCTGATTCTTTTAGAGGTTTGGGAGGGACCGGTTTAGCTTTTACCTTTGCTTCCTTGGAAGGCAAGTCAAGCTGAAAGATGGTTTGTATTTCAAATACATTCGAAGCAGGCTGTGGTAGGATCGAGAAGCTCTTTCGTTTCTATGGAAACCAAAATAGCAACTTAGTTGGCTGCACCAACGAAACTAAAAACCGCTGTGTTATTTTATTACTAGCATGTTTGTGTTTATGAAAAGGAAAAAAATGGAGAGTGAATTTCCGTAACAAAATGTTAAAGCATTCATTTTCATACCAACTTATTGTGAAAAATATTATGGAAGTATCAAAATATGAAATGAACGATAAATACAAACATTATTTGCAAAGTCCATTTCATTATCAGGTGTTGCTGGCAACTTGATTCTATTGCCGTATGAGATTTTTTTTAACTTATCATTAACAACAAAATGCATGTCACTTAATTTTATCAACTGCTTTTAGGAATAATTTTCCACTTCTTGCCAGGAAACCAGTAAATATCTTTGCATTGACGCAAGAAAAGAGAGGGTCATAGCTGAGCCATCAAAAACACAATTGTTGACAAAAACTGGTCCACATGATCTTCCATTTAATGTTAAACTAAAGCATTCCCGAAACAATGTACGACCAAACAAAGTTAACAAACATATGATTAAAAAAGTGAGCATGTATTTTCATTTACACTACGATACTCTTCAGTATTAAGAATGACAGGTCGATCACGGTTTGTCTCAGAAAACGATGATCAATCATTGGTTATTGATGATTGATGATAGATGCTGGATTACACATTTAAGTGTAGTGTACAAAGAAAAGTTAAAAGCAAACGACAAACCAGATTGCTAACTACAAAATAACATTTCTGTTTTGTTTTCTTTAGACGACCAACCCCAACAGCCATTGCAAGTTGAAAACAAGACTAGCAATAGAATATGTTTGTAGTCTTCTCCCGGATAAACCACCACAAGATCGTCCCGTATCTCGACAAAATAGTTTGAGAAAAAATGGACCGTTAAAGACTTTTTTTCAGGCCAACGAGGCCAACTCTTCGCAAAAGGTTATTTTTTACAGCTAAAACTTTACTACTGTGAGTTCGTTGTAACTTAAAACTTGTAACGAGGAAAAGCCAACTGAAAATTACACTGTATGCTAAAAAGACAATACAATAAGAAAATATGACGAAAAAATATTCAAGCAAAATTTTTTCTTACATTGGAATGTAAATTTTCCAACGGTGTCAGACAGTGTTTGCCTTTTTTGTCCTTTCACTAGATTTTAAGATCTGTTTTTTCGAAGAAAAAAGAAACTTGAATATCCAGTTTTATAAAAAATATTGAGTCTATTACTCGCATTTATACTTTTTACAGAGCGATTGTTATTTTCGTCGATTTGATAGTGCTTAAAATACTAAATGGTTGTCATCTCGATATCAATAATTGAATATCCTTAAACACTTTGATATGTTTTAAAGGAAAACCCCAGCTTAAGAGCAGATCGACGTAATAATACTTTTGCACTGAGGATGATGTAGAATTAAAATAAATATAATTCAAAAGATTTTCTTCGTGAAGATAAGAATGACTAGTAAAATGAAATCACCTGAGGTCAAACTTAAGATTTAGGATCCGAAAAAATACAAATTGCTTATAAACACGCGAGAAACACGAGTGATGACGAATGATGACGACAAATATTTTTTAGGCTTCAATTTTTGGCTTCAGTTATCATTCCAGTTCTTTAAATATTGAGTTCACTGTGAACAATACGTTCGCCATAAAAAAAGGTATGTTTTACTTTTTTCAGGAAAACAGCTGAACAGTGAGGAAGTGAAGGAATTGACAGCCACAGCTTGTTATTTGTTCATACTTCGTGAAAATAGACAGAAACACTTTTTGAATCATACAAGGTATCCATTATAGTTTATATGAAGAACAACATAACATTCTAAAAATAATTTAAACCAACTTTCATGTTTTATCGTGTATTATATGTTTCAAAAGTTATTTTCGACCATTCTGACATATCCTACAACTTTCTATTTATCAGGAATAATTTCGGTTCTACAGACAAAAGCAGGTGGACGCTTTTTGTGCTGGTAAATGATGAGATATACAAAGTGAACGTTATTTTGATAGCTATCTGGTACGTTTTCTTCCAATGTGCATTTTATGATTTGTCACGAAGGAATTGCTTGTTTTGTGCACTTTTTTGGGAAAACGTTTAGTCTTATGTATGTTTTTGTTCTTTAAATGTCAGATGAATATCGACGGAACTTGTGTGAAATTCCATTCCTCGTCTAACCTTGCATCAAATCTTGTAGAAGCAACAATAAATGAGAAAAAAGTCTTTGTACAGGTAATTTGTTGTCGCATTAATTTGCAGGTAAATTTATCGTTTACATCTAATGAAATAATTTTTAGAGTTTGTCAAGAAATGGTCAAAATATCAAACTTCAACATTATGGATGAAAGGCATGAATGACTTTCAAAATTAAGATATTACGTTGAATAAAAACTATCAATTTAATTTATGGTATTTTTTAACGCGAGTCTTGCTAAGCGAAAGTTCTAATTATTATTTTCAAACCTATTATCATCCATTGTAAGTTTGATGTCATCGTGATGAATGAAACTCAGAATGATTACTCACGAAATATGAAAGAAAAACCAAAGGTATCGATTTTATGGTTCACATAGCTATTTATACCTTCAATTTTATACGTTTTCCCTTTTATTGAATTAAACTAAAGATAATAGTATCAATTTCCCGAGTACTTAAAGAGTAAAATATTCTTTTTCTAAGTTTTTTGTAAATTTTCATTTTCAGGAGGATTTGACTCCATTTTTGGATTCACCAATGCCAGGCACAGTGATCTCAGTTACATGAGAACCAGGACAAGAGGTAGTTTTAAAAATTGAAATCAATTGTAGTGCAATTACTTGGTGAGGATATTCTAAAAACTTCACTTTCTCAGGTAGCTGAAGGTCAAGAGGTCTGTGTTGAAACTATGAAAATGCAAAAAAGTTTATGCGTTTAGAAATCTGGCCGAATTAAAAAAGTGAACTGTAAACCAGGAGATAAAATATTGGAAGGTGATCGACTTATTTAGCTTGAGTAACACTGACTTTTAAAGAAACTTTTCTAAGCTGGAGTGATCCATAAACACAAGAAAAAAAACACTTTCCTGTTCAGACAATATTTGAAGTGAAGAAATTTAATCAACAGTGATTTTCTTGTATCATGTGAATAATTAAAAATGCATTGTTTCAAATATTATAGTTCAACAATGAAGGAAAATATGATATGACTAACCGATGCAGCAGAGTACTGTACTTACGTACGATAATTATGTACGTGTATAAATGATTATGATTGTTTTATTGTTTATTTGTTTGTGTAAATTGTGAATATTTAGTTTCAAATGCTAAAGTTCAACAGTGCATGATTGTGAATGAATATTAATTCAGGTATAAATCATAAACTATACAACGCCATTGTTTTCAATCAATTCAAAAGGATAGTTTCCTTCTTCATCCCTTTCCAACCCAAATTTCATTTCATCATTTTTGATGCTAACCCAAGGCATGAGGTCATTTTTAAATGCCTTTCCAATATTTCCATGACTGTCAATGGCAATTCCTCCTGGGCGTCCTCTTAATGTTTCTTGAGCTAAATTCACAGCATCCTGTACAGCTTCCTTTTATGAAAAAAAAAATAAAAGTTAAAACAAAAAAGGGAATATGGGTATTAGTTAAAACTGTGTTGTTGAAGTTTAATTTTATAAATTTCTTATTGGACGGTGTTTTATCACGATATCAAAAAAAAAACAGCAGTTGACCAGTCTTTGAACACTGTGGTAGAAATGTTAGAAATCCACAAAGATATTTTTAAGGCTTAAAATGTTAAAAAAAGAGAGATTGTTTGTTACAGGAATTTCGTTGAGATTTGAGAAGCGACAAAAGAGTTGGGAAAATATGTTTTTAATTTAGAGTAGAGCTTGAGATTTCATGTTCAGTGAATCAAATGTTCTGCCGTGTACACGTATTAATCGACAGCAAGATTTTCTTAAACAAAAACATGATTGAGTTTGGGTTTGATATCCTTTTATCTATAAGTTGATTTCTTAAGGATTAACAGTTGAGGCATGGTCCTTACAACAAAACGAAGTCTATTTGCATGGGGGTGAGAAAAATCAGTAAATTTTCGAATGTAAAGCGACTTGAGTTTGTGTCAAGAAAAGTGCTGAAAAAAAACTTGACTAAATCATATAATTAAATAAGTTGAACGTATCGGTTGATAAAATTGAATGGACTTGATAAATCACACAATTTTTGTCCACGTCATAAGTTTCATAACCTTACACAAAAAAAGTCAATAGTACATAAAATACAATACATCGAAACAATGAAAAAATTTTGAATATTTTGCATTACTTGGGCACTTCCTGATTCCATGTTAAATACAACTTGTCTTGTAAAGTTCAATTGTATCAATTTCTCTCCATGACCAGTTGCTGCAGCTGCTCCTTTATAATTTGCATATCCACCACAACCAACTAATGCAGTGTCACTAACACGACCTTTAAGTTTGCCGGGCATACCTCCTAAAATAATGATTAATTATGTATATGATAACATATAGATGACAATATAGAACTGAATTTATGTATGACTATAAATATGACCTGTATATTTATTCATTACCAGTTGACGTGGCACATGCCAAACGGCCATTTCTATCAATTGCAACAGCAAATGCAGTATCGCCATTGAAACCTTCTTCAAGAGAAATATCAGGGGAGATATCAGGAAAAGGTCTTCCGTCGCAAAAAAAATCAACATATGCCATGAAATATTCAGGAGGAAGACGTTTTTGTTTATTTATCAATTCATTTGGCGAGCAACAAGGAAAACCTTTACTCAAAGCAAATTTCAGAGCACCATCACCACTGAGAGCACAATGTGGTGTTTGTTCCATTATTTTTCGAGCAAGACAAACTGGATTTTTGAAATTTCGACCAGAAATTACAGCACCTACAGTAAACGGAAAAGAGTTAAAAAGCTTTTTACACTGATTACTCACAATTTTAAGAGTACCAAGTTTATTCTCGAGTGACATCATGAGATTTGCTTCGTACAAATTGTAAACAGCATGTATTATGTTTGCCAATTTCTAATGAAGATGCAGCTGGAAATACATTCTGGTTTTATTTGTTATTAAAAAAATTCAAAGTTAAAATATCGCAAATGGATTTTAACCTGTTTGTAAAGTGTGTCCCTCCATAATCATTGCATCACATTCAACTTCTCCTTCACTGTTCAATGGAGATCCACGACCTATCATGAATAAGTCACTGCTCTCTAAAATACTAACTGCCTTTTCTACAGCATCAACAGCAGTGTCACCATTCTGAGGTGATAAAAATAATCATAATGTTAATGCAGTTAATAAAAATTCTGACGAAATTTTTTAAGCGAGTTACTTACCGTTAAGACTGCATATCCCTCTCTGGCTGATTCTTTCAGTTTTTCAAAGTATTCATTACTGATATGTTCTTTAATAAGGTTGCTATAGACTACTCCCATGACAATAAATGCGGGGGCTGCATCGAAATCTTAGAAAAAATACCCATTGTTAAATTTGATGCGTCACTTTAAAGCTGAGCGAATGATGACATAGATGAATATGCAAAAAGTAAATTTTGTCCTGATTCATGCATATCCCATAGTAAAGTTTTTCCTTTTTGTCTTAGTTTAAGAGAAATAAAAGTTGAAATTTCCCGTGCGCACTTTTTTCTTACCACATTTGAGAAAATTGATAATTGATACTAAGACAACTTATCAAAATTTTACTCTGAAAAAGTACGTGTTTTTCGCATATTTAGCAAGCAATTTTATGATGAAAAATCACTTTAAAAACATAAATTTCATAAAAGCGAGTCTACTGTGGTTGCCAGTTGTCGGCTTCTACGACGGATGCCTTTTTTAACTATTGACGAACGAGCTATTTGTTGGCCACATGTGAATGCAGATGTGCGCGTCGATATCAAAGTGTGTAGTATGCACGAAATAAAATGTATCAAATTTTATCTCAACGGATCACGAGAGAAATGTTAGCTCATTTATTCTCATTAGTTTTTTGCTTTCTTTCATGTGATGGCCTTTTTCACAACAATTGTAGGATTTGTTTTTGTACATGCATCTCGCGTTTCGTAAATGAATAATGAAAAAAATATTGTATACAAATCATGAGAACCTTTGAGATTTTTGTGGTCTTCTGAACAAGAACTACATCAAATACTTGTCAAGTTGTAGCATATTTGATTTCGTTGTAATGATTGTGAAATGACAAAAATGCAAATAATTAAAACACTTAAATTACAATAGTGTTTATAACACTTGAATACATGAATACACAATTGTGAATTTAATACTTCTCTTCTTTTTCTCTTTTTTATGTGTTTCCTAATAGCCATGTGAGTTCAAAATTTGATTGACTAATACAGCTTTCGCCTCAAAAATAAAGCTTAAGTTCATCATTGAATCTTAAATGCTTCAATATGGCATGCATTACATATAAGTAACAAGAAAATAATATAATTTTTCTGAAAAGCGATCATTTCAGCGGAAATAGGTCCATTGGCCTCCATGTTTTGGCGTCAGATCCCAGTCCACTTAGCCGCTCCAGTTATTATAGAACTCAATGGTCAAACCAATCACAGTAAGACAAAAATTTAAACGAACCAATTACACGATAGCAATTGGACTCCCTTATCGGTCCGGCCACCCTGCTTAACGGTCGAGATTATTCCAGATGGTCCACTGATCTGGCTATTGACCAATGGAATGACTTAAATAATTGTTCTTAAACTCCGTTATCGGTCGAACCAGTCGAGACATCCCGCTTATCTGTCAGCCAGTTAATGTAATTCTAAATATGTTTTTATCTACTGATCTGTTTGCTAAGGTGGTATTTGTATAAGTTTTCCTACATAAAACAGAATTTTGACGATGAAATCCAAACGATTACAGAACGAAAATTTAACGATCAAAAAAAATTGTAATCATGAAATTTGATAAATAATTTTTGAACTATAAACATCAGTCACATGACTGATTTGACATACCCTAGGTTCCCCCCCTGCGGACAGTATCCTGGGTGTATCTTTGTTTCGCGTGTGCTGACAATATCTTACAATTTAATTTAATTTCAAACACCGCACTGCATAAAACATTCTTTCAAATATCTTACAATCTTACAATACACTGAATGGTATTGTCAGCAGACAATTCACGTTTGCGGAATATAATATACACAAATATACATCATTTTACCGAGTTTTCTTCATGTTGATATGGACTCGCCGACTCGAGACATTAGGGAGCTTTAGCAGTCGCAAAAGCGATCATCATGCAGGCGAATCAACCATCGCTAAGCTAGTTTGCCTTTAAATGTGTGTGCACTAAATTTTTACGTATGAAGGTATTCATTTGGTGAACAATTTGAGTAATGTATTCTCATCTGACATCAAAATGAGTAGTTTCTTATCAAGGCAAAGTTATAGGAGCGTGCGGCAGCAGTTTGATTAAGAATGGATCGTTGATAGCTATAAACTTGATACTTGAGATCATTTTTCGTAATCGCAATAGTTAGAGCACAGTTTTTAGAGAGTCATCAAAAGTTAGCGTCAGTCAAAACTTCTTCTGTGTATAAGTATAGCTAGAAATATGATTTCCTTCTCATACGTTGAATCAAGCTTTTCGTTTTTTTGATCATCCGTCTTCATTTATTACTTAAACTGGATGTTATATTCATGTGAATTGTTTGTCACGCGCAAGATCACGTGTGACTTCAAGTATGTATAGTCTTAACCTTTAACAGTTTTATATTTTTGACTCATATTACATACGTGAAAGTCACGCGAGATCACGTGCGTGACAAAATTACACATGAATCAAGGAATTGCTATTTACATAAATCAATTGCATAAAAAAACCTAAACAGATTTCTCGCCCGCATATGCTATACTTTGTATTTTTTGAACCAGAGAAACAGAAGCGCCACAAGTGCTCCGGACAAACAATGCAAAGAATTTATAAGGAAAGAGAGTATTTTTACGATTCCCGAGAAAAAATTGTTTTTGCAAACTAGTAAAAAACCCTATTATGTTCCAAAGTTACCAAAGGAAAATGCATATAATTTAGCGATATCATTAAAGCTGAAGAATTATTTCTATGGCTGTAACTTACAAGGAACACGTTTTTCCATATCAGCTCTTGAGATCCATTCGTTTAACCTCATGATTTTGTGCACCAGAAGAGAAAGCTGTAAAAAATACTCTTTATAGATGCCTTCCTTGATATATGGTGACGGTTTTGTACGATGCTCATCCTTCCATTGCTGGTAAACATTTTGTATAAATTTCAAGCAACCTAACCATGTAGCATCGTAGTGTCCCACATTGAAATCACTGAAAACTTCAAGATCAATACGATCCTTCCAATTTTTTAACCCATTTAACTGCTCATTGACATCTGAGCTGAGAGGATGATCTAAATTCGGTATCTTTATCTCCGGTTGATTTCCAACTTCACACAGCAAGTCAAACTTTTTTTCATCAGATAGTAGATAAGGGTGTTTTAACGCCTCCTTTGCAGATGGCCTGAGTTCGGGTTTATGTTGTAGCATCCATGAAAGAAGATCATTTAGTTCAACATTACTGATTTTCTTCAAGCCAACAGGTTTTCCATTCAACAAATTTTTAAGTATGCACTCATTAGTACCAAAAGGATGTTTTCCTTTTGTTGCAACAAAGTAAGCAACCATTCCTGCATTCTAAAATAAATTAAACATAACAGAGTACGTAAAATGTAAAAATTAAATTTACGTACAATTTGCAAATAGCAACAACCCAATACCTACCATTACATCGGACTTTGTTTTGTAACGCGCTATATCAAATAATTTTTTATCAACAATATAAGATTCAGGGGCAATCCAATGCGGAGTTCCCCTATTAGCATCGCTTACATATGTCTGAGAGTCATTCTTCATAATTCGACGAATACCAAAATCGGATTTAAAAAATTTGCCTTGTGTGTCTCGGAGAACATTGGAAGGTTTTAAATCTCGATGAAGAATGGAGCGTGGATCACTGTGAAGATCAACTAAGCCGTTCAATATTTGCTTGAAAAAGTTGGGAAGGGATTTTTGAAGATAATCTAAACTATTTGATTCGGATAGCACAAAACGCTCCAACGATTCTTCACATAGATCGAGAATCAAATGGACATATTCTGTTCTTGTATCTTGTCTCGAGCAATAATAATTTAGCACATAATCCGACTTCTTAGCATTGATTTCATTAAAAAATTTTTCTTCATGCAATGCCAAATAAGTATCACAAAGAATTCGTTTCACTGCTTTACCTAACCATCCTTTACCAGTCCAAGATAAACACGGGTTCCATCACTTCCTTTGCGAAGTAAAAACTCTTCTGAGAAAATTACACGTACATCGTCCACTTGTTTAACCTCAACATTAGGGTCTTTCCCATACTCAATTAATTTTAAAAACAATTCTTTATGTTTTGTCGATTTATCATTGTATTTCCATTCATGCAGCTGCAATTCTTAATAGAAGTAAAAGTATTCCATTTGTAGAGAGAGTAATATATTGTAGCTGAATAGTCAAATAATAAATAAATAGCAGTGCTCGAGTTTCCCTATTGCACCAACGATTCAGATAGCAGATAAAATTTGTAAAAAAAAACTTACAAAAACAAAAAATAAACATATTACGACCACTTATTTAAACAATGAGTTCTGATAAGAATGGCTCTAAAAAGCTCTTATACGGGAAATCTCACCCAGGTCTTTTACTCATATCATGAGGGCATTGTTTTGCAAAATGGAAAAACAAAAACTAAGACTAGTTTTTGTAACTAAACGAAAAGTTATTAGCTACTTTTCATAAACGTTAATTTCGACCACTATCATTAGTACCAGACCGTAATAAAATCAATTTGACTAAAAAAAAATAGAAAGTGCAACAGATGCAAGTGAAGGGTTCTAGGTTTAAGTTGAATTCAACAATATAGCTTTTATTGATTTTATCAAGAAAAATGTTATTCGAAAGAAGGATAAATCATTATTTGTTTGTCGCTTAGACATAAACAAAAAATCTTAACTTTTTTTGGCAAGTTTTAACTTTTGCCTATCGCTAACACTACGACACCTTTTGATAGTTTTCTCTATCTTGAAAAGTAATTCAACCTTCATAACGAATGAAAGTCACTCGTAAAAACCAAGATTGCTACTCACTCTTAAATTCAGACCTTTGCACGAAGCTCATAAAAACAGGACTAACCTAAACGACTCTTGCTAGTATAAAAAATAAAATGACTAGATGGACATCAGGAAGGCACCATATAAAATTCTCCAAACAAACATTTGTTGCCTATTTATCTATAGGATTGTTGAATATTTTATATTTTCTTGTTTTCATGGAATTACTCTAATAAAAACCACATTTGGAAGGGGCGTTCACCAGACGGAAACGCGTAAGTGAGGCTAGACGTGTATTAGAGGAATACGGTAACCCTTTTATATTAGAATAATCGACTTTTATTTACTGTTACAAAGTGGATTCTCATCAATTTACATCATTTACCAATTCCTAAAATAATATATGCTAAGTCGTAGACAAGAGTTATATTTTGAGAGTGATTAACTTCCAATAAGGATTAGTTTGTTGTAACTTTATTTACCGTCAAGATCGAGATTGTTCATGACGTCTTTGCTTTTCTTTCCACTAACTTCTTCAATTTTCACATGATCCACAGTATCTGAAAAATGTTCACAACGGTATTGTCACTATTATGTACAGCTTAAAGTGTAGAAAGTCCAGAGAGAAAACATTATAGAGTGTTAAAAACACACTAAATAAAAATACAACCAAAAAAGAGAGTTGGCAGAGTAAGAAAACAATTTTTTTATAGCAAAATATTTTAATTTACCGTAAAAGATTGAGTGAGCATCAAAATTAAATCAGGGATATTTATATCATCATGGAAGCCTAATTCAGTAATGTCTTTGAAAAAGGAAAAATATTTTTATGGCTTACAGGTAAAATGTTTCTTGAGAACAGGTCTTGTTTTCCAGTCAGTTGACCTTATGATTTTGTGCACCAAAAGAGGCAGTTCAGGAAAACGTTGCAAGAAATAATCTACATATTTCTCTTCCTTGACATAACGCAACAGATGTGTACGAGATTTATCTTTCCAATGCTCATTCACGTTTCTAATGAATCTTAAACACCTTGCCCATGTAGGCTCGTAAGTCAAAGTTTTCTTTTTGCCATTCTTTTCAAAAGTTGTGAAATCTTCTAATACTTCATCGTCGATAAGCTCCATCCATTTTGAATGACAATCCAACTGCTTACGAACATGCGAATTCTGACCTTTCGATAGTTTTATCTCTGGTTGATTCCCAACGTTACACAGCATGTCAAACTTCTCCTCATCGGATTGTAGATAAGGATGTTTTAGCGCATCGTTGGCTGATGGCCTGTTTTCTGGTTTTAGTTGTAGCATCCATAACAAAAGGTCTAGGAAAGCAGCATCCTTTATTTCGTTCAAGCCAACATGATTTCCATGTAACAAGTTTTGTAGTCTACAGTCTTCAGTTCCAAAAGGATGCTTCCCTTTTGTTGCAACATAATAAGCCAACATTCCTGCGTTCTAAATCGATCAAACAGAATAGCGTGAATATATTGTCAAGAATTTAATTTATGTGTCATTTACTAAAGGATAAATTTCTACACCTACCATTACATCTGACTCTTTTTTGTAACGTGATGTATCAACTGAATCTTCATCTTTACAATATGATTCAGGAGCAATCTAATCCTGAGTTCCCTTTTTAGAGCTAGTATGATATGTCTTAAGGCCACCCTTCAATTTTCGACTTATACCAAAGTCAGCAATCAGAAATTTACCATGTGTGTCTCGGAGAACATTGGAAGGCTTTAAATCCCGAAGAAGAATAGGACATGGGCCGCAGTGAAGATCAGCTAATCCTTTTAACACTTGTCTGAGAATTTCGGGAAGAGATTTTTGAAGATCCTGCAATGTAGAAGATGCCACAAACCTCTCCAACGATTCCTCACATAGGTCTAGTATCAAATAGACATAGTCTGTTTCAGTGTCCTCTTCTAAGTAGTAATATTTCACAACAAATTTCGACTCCTTTGCGTTGAATTCGCTCAACATTTCCTTTTCTTTCTTGGCAATCGTGATGCAGTTATCTCGACGTATTCGTTTTACTGCTTTGCCGTAACCATCCTTTTTCAGTCCCAGATAAACACGGGTTCCATCACTTCCTCTACCGATGCAAAACTCGTCAGAGATTATCACACGTACATTGTCTACATGCTTGACCTCGACATTGGGATTTCGTCTATACTTAATCAATTTTAAGAACAATTCTTTATGTATAACAGATCCACCAATGTATTCCCACTCTGATGACAACAATTAATAAAATGATAAAAGTATAAAATTAAGGTTAAGTAAAACGGAAACAATCAATGAACAGATTACTAAAAAGCTTTCTCATTAGTGTAAACTCTCTACCTTTTTCGTTCTTTTTCTTAATGATTTCTTGTAACTTGGCTTCCATCGAATTTCTTAAGTAATAACGCTCTTCTTCATCGTATATTTGCACCAGACGCTTCATGACGTTCGCTTGTTTTTCTATATCTTCATCTTTTGTGATCATATCCAGATATGTTTCATATACAAATGCTGCATCTCCCCATTGCTCAAGTTTATCAAACAATTCCGCTAATTCCCATAAAACAGCTAACACTCTATTCACAATTCCAGCTGAAGTAACAAGTGACAAGTTCTTCATGTTAAGGTTCACGAAATCTTTACTAACGTTGATACCACCAACTTTTCTTGGTCGTCGCGATCGATGATGCTGTTCATGTTGCTGCTGTTGAGATTCAATAATAAGAGAGAATCCTTTTCTATAATGCTCCAAAGATTGCTCATAATTTTTAAGCAACTTATTCAATCCTCCCAATGCAATATGGCAGAGACATTCCATTTCATCTTTCTTCATGGCGTCCTCCAATCTTTTCATGTTAGAATGAACACTCCCCATGCCAAGGTATAGTTGATGTTCAAAATATTCACTTTCAACTTTAGACGAAAACTTTAAACAATCATTAAAACTGTTCAATCCTTCCTCCCAATTATCACAGAGGGTGTAAGCATTACCAAGACAAAAATAAACCATCATTTTCACGTTATCCTTGTCGGCATTTTCCAAACATCTTTTGTAGTTTTCAATTGCTGTTCCATAATCACCATTATTCATACTTAAATTTCCTTCTTCAAAAAATGACATAGCTTCTGCTTGACTGCTGTATGAGTTTGATTTCTTATTATAATAATGCACAGATTTATCAGAGCTCTCAGCTGTTGTTTCCATATTGCTTCTACTTGCCTCTGTAGAAATTTCCATCTCTGTTGTCTAGTTAAATTTGGGAAATTTACCTGTTAAATTTGACTTTTAATATCAATTATTAGTTAGATGTTAAAAGCAAATCATCCTTATAACATTAAAATATATTTGCATGCGCCAAATATCAAAGATTTACTAGCCAATACAATTCTTTCTAATCTTTTGCATACGTAGCGGAACCAAAAAGGTAGTGCATGTTTGTAAGTCGTGAGCGCCCGTTCCTCTACAGATTGCATTACAATTTCAGGAACTACAACAGAAACGGGTGAGCCCATTGCTGTTCTATGTAATTGTTTGTAGTGTGTACCTTTGTACTGGAAGTAAGTCGAGGTAAGGCAGAGCTCCAGTAGGTCCATAATGTCTTCTGTCGGTAATGGCAGTACGTCCGTGGTGTTTGTAATGAGAGTTTTTGTACAAGTAAGTGCCAGATTAAGAGGAATACTGGTAAACAGTTTATTTCACATCAAAAGGCACTAGTAAATAGTATAATCTGGACGATATACGTCTACAAACATGTAACGATACTCCCGGGCTCAAACCATTTACTTTATTGACTATTATTATCAATTATTAGTTAGATCTTAAAAGCAAATTCTTCCTTGTAACATTAAAATATATTTACATGCGCCAAATATCAAAGATATACTGGCCAATACAATTCTTTCTAATCTTTTGCACACAGAAATTTCTCAAAATTTGTGGTTACTCTGCAAATTTGCACAAATATCAGTAAAATAGGTTTAATGCACTACATACAATACTCAAAAAAGGCGTTTCAACTTCAATGACCATTTAAAACGACTTATTTCCTTCAAAAATTTGCTTATCTTTATTTATTTTATTCTGTATGTAAACTATTCCAGAACCTTCAAAATTTGATAAATATACAATCTTTGATTTAACACTTTTAATTTTTTGACGAATCATATTAATTGATAAACTAAATGCAAAGTAAATTACTGTTCACTAAACCAAACTTCTGAATCAACCAATACAAAATATTTGGTCCAATTTAATAGCAGTGTAAAATCAGCGTGAAAAGAATTGCTTGCGTGTCAAAATACACGATACAACTTATCGTGTATTTTGTGTTTCAAAAGTTATTTTCGACCATTCTGACACATCCTACAACTTTCCATTTATCAGGAATAATTTTGGTTTTACAGACAAAAGCAGGTGGACGCTTTTTGTGCTGGTAAATGATGAGAAATACAAAGTGAACGTTGATCGAAATGTTGATAGTTATCTGGTACGTTTTTTTCCAATGTGCATTTCATGATTTATGTCACGAATGAAGTGCTTATTTGTGCACTTTTTGGGAAAATTTTTAGTCTTATGTATGTTTTTGTTCTTTTAATGTCAGATGAATATCGACGGAGCTTGTGTGAAATTTCATTCCTCGTCTAACCTTGCAACAAATCTTGTAGAAGCAACAATAAATGAGAAAAAGGTCTTTGTAGAGGTAATTTGTTGTCGCATTAATTTGCAGGTAAATTTATCGTTTACATCTGATGAAATAATTTTTAGAGTTTGTCAAAAAATGGTCAAAATATCAAACTTCAACATTATGGATCAAAGGTATGAAAGACTTTAAAAATTAAGATATTACGTTGAATAAAAACTGTCAATTTAATTCATGGTATTTTTTAACGCGAGTCTTGCTAAGCGAAAGTTCTAATTATTATTTTCAAACCTTTTATCATCCATTGTAAGTTTGATGTCATCGTGATGAATGAAACTCAGAATGATTACTCACGAAATATGAAAGAAAAACCAAAGGTATCGATTTTATGGTTTACATAGCTATTTATACCTTCAATTTTATACATTTTCCCTTTTATTGAATTAAACTAAAGATAATAGTATCAATTTCCCGAGTATATAAAGGGTAAAATATTCTTTTTCTAAATTTCTTGTAAATTTTCATTTTCAGGAAGATTTGACGCCATTTTTGGATTCACCAATGCCAGGCACAGTGATCTCAGTTACATGTGAACCAGGACAAGAGGTAGTTTTAAATATTGAAATCAATTGTAGTGCAATTACTTGGTGAGGATACTCTAAAAACTTCACTTTCTCAGGTAGCTGAAGGTCAAGAGGTTTGTGTTGTTGAAACTATGAAAATGCAAAATAGTTTATGCGTTCTGAAATCTGGCCGAATTAAAAAAGTGAACTGTAAACCAGGAGATAAAATATTGGAAGATGATCGACTTATTGAGCTCGAGTAACACTGACTTTTAAAGAAAATTTGCTAAACTGGAGTGATCCATAAACACAAGAAAAAAAAACAATACTTTCCTGTTCAGACAATATTTGAAGTGAAGAAATTTAATCAACAGTGATTTTCTTGTATCATGTGAATAATTAAAAATGCATTGTTTCAAATATTATTGTTCAACAATGAAGGAAAATATGATATGACTAACCAATACAGCAGAGTACTGTACTTACGTACGATAATTATGTACGTGTATAAATGATTATGATTGTTTTATTGTTTATTTGTTTGTGTGAATTGTGAATATTTAGTTTCAAATGCTAAAGTTCAACAGTGCATGATTGTGAATGAATATTAATTCATGTATAAATCATAAACTATACAACGCCATTGTTTACAATAAATTCAAAAGGATAGTTTCCTTCATCATCCCTTTCCAACCCAAATTTCATTTCATCGTTTTTGATGCTAACCCAAGGCATGAGGTCATTTTTAAATGCCTTTCCAATATTTCCATGTCTGTCAATGGCAATTCCTCCTGCGCGTCCGTCAAGTTTGCCAATTTTAAGCAAATTCACAGCATCCTGTAGAGTTTCCTTTAATGAAAAAAATAAACAAAAGTTAAAACAAAAAAGGGGAATATGGGTATTGGTTAAAATTGTATTGTTGAAGTTTAATTTTATAAATTTCTTATTGGACGGTGTTTTATCACGACATCAAAAAAAAAACAGCAGTTGACCAGTCTTTGAACACTGTGGTAGAAATGTTAGAAATCAACAAAGATATTTTTAAGGCTTAAAATGTTAAAAAAAGAGGGATTGTTTGTTAAAGGAATTTCTTTGAGATTTGAGAAGCGACAAAAGAGTTGGGAAAATAAGTTTTTAATTTAGAGTAGAGCTTGAGATTGCATGTTCAGTGCAATCAAATGTTCTGCCGTGTACACGTATTAATCGACAGCAACATTTTCTTAAACAAAAACATGATTGGGTTTGGGTTTGATATTCTTTTATCTATAAGTTGTTTCTTAAGGATTAACAGTTTGAGGCATGGTCCTTACAACAAAACGAAGTCTATTTGCATGGGGGTGAGAAAAATCAGTAAACTTTCGAATGTAAAGCGACTTGAATTTGTGTCAAGAAAAGTGCTGAAAAAAAACTTGACTAAATCATATAATTAAATAAGTTGAACGTATCAGTTGATAAAATTGAATGGACTTGATAAATCGCACAATTTTTGTCCACGTCATAAGTTTCATAACCTAACACAAAAAAAGTCAATAGTACATAAAATACAATACATCGAAACAATGAAAATTTTTTAATATTTTGCATTACTTGGGCACTTCCTGCTTCCATGTTAATTACAACTTCTCTTGTAAAGTTCAATTTTATCAATTTCTCTCCATGACCAGTTGCTGCAGCTGCTCCATAATCATTTGCATATCCACCACAACCAACTAATGCAGTGTCACTAACACAACCTTTAAGTTTGCCTGCCATACCTCCTAAAATAATGATTAATTATGAATATGATGACATGCAGATAGCGATGTAGAACTGAATTCATGTATGATTTTTTATATAAATACGACCTGTATATTTAGTCATTACCTGTTGACGTTGCACATGCCAGCTTGCCATCTCTATCAATCGCAACAGCACATGCACAATCGCAAGTGTCAGTTTCTTCAGGTCTAATTTCAGGCACATCAGCAGGAAAAGGTCCTCCCTCCATAAAATATTGTGCATAATCATTGAAATATTTATGTGGAAGATATCTCTGTCCATTTAACAATTCATTCGGTTCGCACCAATCCAATCCATTATCCTGAGCAAATTTCAGAGCACCATCACCACTAAGAGCACTATGTGGTGTTTTTTCCATTATTTTTCGAGCAAGGCAAACTGGATTTTTGAAATTTCGACCAGAAATTACAGCGCCTACAGTAAACAGAGAAGAATTAAAAAGCCTTTTATACTGATTACTCACAATTTTAAGAGTACCAAGTTTATTCTCGAGTGATATCATGAGATTTGCTTCGTACAAAATGTAAACAGCATGTATCATGTTTGCCAATTTCTAATGAAGATGCAGCGGGAAATACATTCTGGTTTTATTTGTTATCAAAAAAATTCAAAGTTAAAGTATCACAAATGGATTTTAACCTGTTTTTAAAGTGTCTCCATCCATAATCATTGCATCACATTCAACTTCTCCTTCACTGTTCAATGGAGATCCACGACCTATCATGAATAAGTCACTGCTCTCTAAAATACTAACTGCCTTTTCTACAGCATCAACAGCAGTGTCACCATTCTGAGGTGATAAAAATAATCATAATGTTAAATGCAGTTAACAAAAATTCTGGCAAATTTTTTAAACGAGTTACTTACCGTTAAGACTGCATATCCCTCTCTGGCTGATTCTTTCAGTTTTTCAAGGACCTCATTACTGATATGTTCTCTAATAAAGTTGCTATAGACTCCTCCCATGACAATAATTGCGGGGGCTCCATCGAAATCTTAAAAAATTACCCATTATTAAATTTGATGCCTCACTTTAAAGCTTTGCGATTTACAAAATTGTATGAATGATGTTGTTTGCTGATGACATAGATGAATATGCAAAAAGTAAATTTTTTCCTGATTCATGCATATCCATAGTAAAGTTTTTCCTTTTTGTCTTAGTTTAGGAGAAATAAAAGTTGAAATTTCCCGTGCGCACTTTTAGAGAAAATTGATAATTGATACTAAGACAACTTATCAAAATTTTACTCTATATTTGGGTTGACTAAAATTGTTTTAGGTTATGTGATTATTTCTTGATGAGAGCAGCAAAAAATAATCCCTCACTCTCAGACACCTCGAGTGGGGCATTCTTAGAATAATCATGGAAAATATCTTGATGTACATAACTGCGTGTCACTCTAGACATTTAAATATTGAGTTCACTGGGCTTTAATTAGCGGCTGACGCCAAAAAAATGGAGGATTTGTTCCATTACCGCTGAGATTTACCGAAATTGACTGCTTTTCCGAAAATCTCACAATTTCTCTTTCCCCCCTTGAGAAAGAGTGAGGAAAAAGTACGTGTTTTTCGCATATTTAGCAAGCATATTTATGATGAAAAATCACTTTAAAAACATAAATTTCATAAAAGCGAGTCTACTGTGGTTGCCAGTTGTCGGCTTCTACGACGGATGCCTTTTTTAACTATTGACGAACGAGCTATTTGTTGGCCATATATGAATGCAGATGTGCACGTCGTAACTGTTGTTTAATGATTTGCTCGATCAAAGTTTGTAGTCTGCACGAAATAAAATGTATCAAATTTCATCTCAACGGATCACGAGAGAAATGTTAGCTCATTTATTCTCATTAGTTTTTTGCTTTCTTTTATGTGATGGCCTTTTTCAAAACAATTGTAGGATTTGTTTTTGTACATGCATCTTGCGTTTCGTCAATGAACAATGAAAAAAAAATTGTATACAAATCACGAGAACCTTTGAGATTTTCGTGGTCTTCTGAACAAGAACTACATCAAATACTTGTCAAGTTGTAGCATATTTGATATCGTTGTCATGATTGTGAAATGACAAAAATGCAAATAATTGGTGACAAAAGATTTACTGGAGTCTCCCCAGAAATTCAAAATGATTTTATCAGCTATCTTGATTCAATTATTGAAGATGAAATCAGAAAGGAAATAAATGATTGCACGTTTATGAGTATTCAGGTTGATGAAGCATCTAATGTGTCCACCAAAGAGCAGCTAAGTGTTATTGCTTGGTTTGACAAAGCAAGTGAAAATATTGAGAGGCAATTAGGATTTGTGGATGTAAGTATGAACAAAAATGCCACAGCATTATCACAAGTTGTCAAAGATAAACTTGGTGAGTGTTCTAATATAAAAGAAAATTTGGTTTTGCAAACATATGATAGTGCTTCTGTCATGTCTGGCCATATCAATGGTGTTCAAGCATTGGTTCGACAAGAGTATCCTTTTGCCTATTTTGTTCATTGTGCAGCTCTTAGTTTGAACCTTGTCCTATGCCGGTCAGCCGCATCAATTTCTCCTGTTAAAATCTTTTTCATTAATATAGGTGCATTTAGCACCTATATTTTGGGCACATTTACAAGCAATGCTTTGCCCAAAAGAAAAGCTTTTCTCACATCAAACAACCTTAAGTTTCCTGCCCCAGGTGAAACAAGATGGTATTATCGCTCTAGATTAATCAATGTATTGTACAAAAACTATAAAAAAGTTTTAGATATTTTTGAGGGGGTACTTGAAAAACCAACTGGATGGGATGTGCACTGTCTAAAAAATGTTTGCAACGGCAATATACAGAATTCAAAACATACATGCATTAAGTACAATAAATGAAGAGGACAACTAGAGTCAAAATAACAAATATAGTGTCATGAACCACTAATTTATAGTTTGGCCATCGAAAATAAAAACTCATTTCTGTGTCTTACTTGGAAAAGGTTTCTTCAGAACAGGTCTTGTCTTCCATTCACTCAATCTTATGGTTCTGTGAACTAGAAGAGGCAGTTCCTTATAAAGTCGAAGAAAATACTCTTGATAGTTTCCATCTTTAACACATGATGACAGTTGTGGACGAGATTCATCATGCCAATGCTGGCGAACGTTTCGTAAAAAGCTTAGGCAACCTAACCATGTAGAGTCGGATACTTTATTGAAATGATTAAAAAATTCAGGATCGATACGGTCCATCCAATCTATTGAAAGATTCAACTGCTCACGAAGATTTGAGGGAAGAGAATGTGGAGATGACTTCTTTATTTCTGGTTCATTCCCAACATCACACAGAAAATCGAAATTCTCCTCATCGGTTTGTAGATAAGGGTGTTTTAACAACTTTTTGGCCGATGGTCTGTCTTCCGGTTCTAGCTGTAGCATCCACGATAAAAGGTCTTTGAGCGTGGCATCCTTGATTTTGTCCAAGCCAACTGGCTTTCCATTTAATAAGTTATCCAGTAAAAACCGTTCAGCTCCAAAGGGATGTTTCCCCTTTGTTGCAACATAATAAGCCACCATTCCGGCATTCTATTTTCAATAAAAAATGGAGTTAATTTGTTTGTTAGTTGCAAAAAATACAATTTCAGTTCGAAAAAAAATCAGCAAAATGTTCTCCAATTAAGAATCGTAGCCACAAATTTTTTAGAGCAATCTAAATGAGAGACATACAATCGTAAAACCAATAAGGCAATAACAACAATTCGTTATCCTACATATACATATTTTTATATTTTATACAGTACATGTTGTATTTCGCCACTATATGACTGTACAATGGAGGTAAACAAAAATTTTATTTAAAAGTGATAATGATATCAGTGGCAGTGAAAATAATATCCCTACCAAATACAACATTGAAATGCAAACACAACATTGAGCTGTAGTTGGACCTCTAGTTCTACTTCAAGAACTTACCATAATGTCAGACTCTTTTTTGTAACGAACTTTATTAATTGTATCATCTGATGCGTTGTATGACTCTGGAGCTATCCAATTTTTAGCTCCTCTTTGTATGCTCCAATGTGTCGAAGTTTCATCAGATAATAACATATGACTTATACCAAAGTCAGCGATTAAAAAATTTCCTTTTACATCTCGAAGAACGTTTGATGGTCTTAAATCCCTGTGAAGAATAGGACACGGATCACTGTGAAGATCAGCCAAACCTTTTAAAATCTGCGTAAGAATTGTAGGAAGTGCTTTTTGAAGATCTTGCAAAGTAGAAGATTGTACAAAACTTTCTAACGATTCTTCACACAAATCTAGTATCAAATACAAATAATCTGTGCCTGGTTCTTCTTCAAGATACCAATAATTCACAACATAATTTGAACGCTTGGCATTAAACTCATTCAAAATATCTTTTTCTCGTTTGGCCAACTTCGTACAGTTATCTCGAAGCAATCGTTTTACTGCTTTTCCGTAACCATCTTTTCCGAGTCCAAGGTAAACACGAGTTCCATCACTTCCTTTACCAAGCAAAAACTCTTCAGAACAAATAAACTTTACACCATTTACGAGTTTAACTTTTCTTGGATTTTCTTGCCCATATTCTTCCATCATTCTGAACTTTTGTTGGTGCATTATTGATTTATCATAACATTTCCATGGTTGAGAAAGCAATTCTTCAATTAAAAAGTAAAGTAGACTATTTACAAAGGAATAAATCAATGTATCAAGAAGCAATTTAATTTTCTAATTATACGCACATCAAAAAATTGTGCCTATTAGACAAGATTTGACATACCTACACCGCTTTGCCCGTTAAGGTGAACAGACTTTTATATTTAGCTACGAAATAATATCATAAAAACATAACAACATGTTTGCCTTTGTTTCAGTTTATTTGTATTAGCAGCGTATTTCCCTGCTCCCAAACACACGCATGAGAGATATTTAGTTCAAAGGACGTTGAGGGACGTTTAGACTGAATGTTCCTCATAAAAGTTATCAACACCTTGTTTCCACACTTAATTTACTCTCGTTAACTTTAGAAATTGCGTCAGCTCGCTTTTTGATTTTTCTAATGCTAAATAATTTTCAATTCTTGTGAATGGAAAAGTTAATGTCAGGATCTTTTCCCTTTGAATAGGGAAACATTGAGATTGAAAAATCAAAGATGAAAGCATCTGTCGAGGTGAAAAGAGTACGGAGAATTAAAGAACCTAATGTTTTTAAGGTTACCTTCTGAAATGCTTGTGTTTTTGACCAGAATTATTGGCTTTTATTGGCTATCAATAATCAAATAATATGCTTTAAAAGGATATTTTCAACAATATTCTTTTTAAGTTAATTTGTGTACGTGAAACGTATACATAAAACTGACACGTTGATCATGATGGTTTTCATAATTTACTTTTAGCATCATAGCCAGTTTTCACTTGCTATACATATTGATCAAATTTCTATGTTTGCAAAGTTTAAAATTTTCACATGATTTTGATCCACAACATTTGCATTATTTTTTAATTATAAGATTTCAGTTGGCTACATATAACGATACCTTTTAAAATTAATTTATTAGGTTGTAAATTATTGTTTGTATTTAGCGTTGAAAAACATGGAAATTTTTGGGCAAATGTTTGCTAACAAAATTCTTTTGCTTACCAGGTTTTGATGTGGAAGGCGAAACACCAATGATGAATTCACTGTTATTATCATCTAATAGATAAATCAAATTAATTTTTTGCAATGCAGTTAAATAACATTACAGCATGATGACAAATTCTCAAACTCTCTTATCTGACCCTTTACAAACATATGAATGATACGCATGATATAAACGACTCTTAATTGTTTGTGTTTGACTTTTAAAGGGAATGTAAAGATTTTTATGCAAATGTTTGCTAACAAAATACAATTTCTTACAAAGTACTGCTGAAGAAGGAGTTTTGTCAATGTCGTCATAGTCGTTGTCACTCATGGGAGATGGCAAAGATATCTTTTCGTAAAAAGCTGTACATTACACGGTTAATACATCATAGCAAGATAAAAGGAATACTTGCTGAGTTATTTCACTCTTCATTACATCTCACATTTTTGACCGTTAACAAAAGTATGTGAATAAGGAAGATATAAACGAATCTCAATGGTTACATTGCATTCTTGTTTGTACTTAACATTTCAAAAGGCAATCAAGATTACGTTTGTGTAAATATATGCATATAAAATTTCATTACTTACTAGGTCCTGATGTAGACGTTATACCAATATCAGCATTACTGTCATTATCATTTAGTAGATATAGCAAAGATTTCTTTTCTTCAGAAGCTGAAGCAATGTAAATATGAAACATTTAACAATGATAATATTATTATAAAGTATTGCAACAAATGTATTTTGTAAATAAACTTGAACATACTGATTTCATCGTGACTGCTGTGTAAGATGGTCTTACTAGGAAAAATCTGAGCGTATTTTTACCAAATCGAGAAAGGATCCTCAGAAAATTATGTTAACTATAGGTATTTGTTATGCCTTCGAATGATACGCAGTACTTTTACTTTTTACTATAGTATGTTTTCCTTTTAATACTTTCTACATTTAATGCACATTATTTAGAGTTCTATTCAAGCCTAAAATCAAAGTAATTTAGTCACCAATAATAACAAATGATAATCGGATTGGTAATGCAAATTTTAGATGTTTTCAATTGATTATCTGAAAAAAATATCCAAAAGAATTCGAGACGTTTGCAAATAATAGACATGATGATAACATGTCTATCACGACATATTGCGAATGATAATGGACATGATGATAGAATGATAATAACCTATAAGACAACTTTCAGGTATTCCAAAATGTTTGTAAGAATTTTCTAAGTTGGCATTCACGTAGCATTATAAATGTGTACATAAATTCTATGAAAATAAGCACACAAAGTGAATAAAAATCACTTTAACTTTTAAATCCCGAAGTGTAATTAGTTGCACAGCCATTGAATTTTTAATGTTATAATCTTGTGCAAACAAATTAATGTGTTTACAATTTTTTGATACATGCTGTACAGGGTGTCTCAAAAACTGCACATCTTTGAAATTAGCCGACGTTTAAGATTTGCAAGATTCAGCAGTAATTGATTCCCAAATACACCCTGTAAATTGTTCCTTACGGATGATAACACGCATTTATGAATATGAAGCTCTCCTCCCTAAATTATTGAGCTGGCTACTCCGCTGTTTTCTAAATCCTGATTCACATTTTCACACTTTTAAAAAATGATATCGTCCTTTGACGTATTAGGAGGTCCATTTATCGAAGGCGAGTAGCTACAATTGTATTGACACTAACAAATTAATGAGTGATGATAATATCAACACCACTAATAACGTAAAAAGGTTGGAAAGAAGCAGTTCTAAGCCTTTGTCAAAGAAAGTTTTACCGACCGGAGAATACCAGTTGCAGATACTCTGAAAAAAAAATAAACTGAAAGCATTCATAATTCCCATGTATCACAAGAATTATTTCATACTCTGACGCCAAAGTGGCGGTTTTGAAGAAGGAAGAGAATTAGCAGAGGTTGTTTTCTGTCTATGCTGAAAGGATGATGATGGTAGAAGCATTGCATGGTGTAGATGAAAGAGTAAAATTAAGAGGAAATGAATTTACTGAAAGACATCATAGGCTTGAAGTGGCGTAGCTAGCCCGCAAATTTGTTCGTTCTCAGTAAATTTTACACCATTATTATTATTCATTTCTTGAGAAAGTTATTTGTTTACAGTGAGTGAAAACATTGAAATTTGCATAGCATTAACAAAGTTGTTGGCTGGTTATATGCCACTGGAGGTTTGTGGATGACCAATGCATATTAGCTGGGACGAAAAAATTATGCAAAATATCTTAGATAGATTGGGTGATGTATCAGAAGAACATGGTATGAACATAAATACAAAGACGACAGAAGTTACGGCAGATTCCAAACAATTTGGTGGCAATCTTGATATAGTTTTAAAGAAGTTAGAAAATGAAAAATTGAATCATCAAAACAGTTATTTAATGCTTATAGTATCTTCTCTGGATCATAGCCATGAAAAGCGAGCGATAGATATGAGAAAAATAGAGGCACTTGTGATGTGAATCTCGGGAAGAATGGAGAGTAGACTGAATAGAAAGGAAAACAACAGAAATGATGTTGATGGTGTAGATGAAAAAAGAGAGCTGTTGGGTAGAAATACCATAGAATTAAAAAGAGGTAGAATTGACACATCTTTCGCAGTAATAACTTGTTGAAAGAAGTGGCAGAGGAAAGAGTTTATTGTAAAAAGCCTAAGGAAAGAAAAAGGATTGGATTGCTAAGTAACTTGAAAGGGAACGAATATGCCAACGTGAAAAGAAAACCTGAGAAGTGAGAGACCTGGAGAAGATAAATGCTTAAATAGACTTCTCGGTACATAAATAACTTGACGGCGACAAAAACTATTGTCGTTAATGCGTTATTTATAAACATTTGTAAGTATTATACTACATGATAAACTAACCTTCATCATCATCGTTACTATCTGCAATGTATAAAAAAATCACATTATTATCACATTTACGCATTACACTTCAAATTGAATGTCTTATTGTTACAAATTGTGACTAAATAGAGACGAAAAGCCTCTTAAATGAATTGCATTTGCTCCAAAACAGTTTATACAAACAGCAAACAGGAATTAACAACCACAAAAATCTATCCCAAAATAACGTCAATTCATACGTCAGTTGTCAATTTGTATATCAGTTGTATACACCTTTTTTAAAAACTCAGTGATATTTCAAGAGTGAAAATCAAGAACAGTACATTTTCAGTCAGTGTAATGTGTGAATGACTCTTTTTACTTCTTTTTAGGGACAAATAAACCTGTTGTTGTAACCGAGCTAATCACAGACAACAATGTTTTAAACAAATTTTTCAGCATTTATATGTCAATTTTCAAATGTCAACATTAAAAACTAATATTTAGTGCAAAGAGGACATGTTATATTTAAAACTATTCTTCTTAAATGTGGCTGCATAGAAACAGAAAACACGCTTAAAATTAGTTTCTTTTCAACACAGTAAAATGTAAACGGGCATAGATAAACAAAGTAATCATTATCGTAAGTATAGTTCACCTTTTTGACGTCGTCTTTTTTTTTTCTTTTCTGCATGATGAAAAAATAAAGAATATGAAAACAAACATAATAATTCACAATTTTTCATGATTTGAAATTTACAAATTTTTACTCAGGTTAAATAATTACATGTTTGTAGACGTTAGTAGATAGTTCAGGTTGCTGCAGACTGTTGGTGCTATCCTTAGCTGATGTTTCGACATTCTTTGAAAATTATTGGTATGATGGAAAACAAGGACATAAGCACCGGGTACCAGGTATCGGAAAGCAAATATCGGAAAGCAAATACCGAGTGGAGAGTACCTGGTACCAGGTAGCAGTTTACTCGTATAAATTAGTCTTTGTGCGAAAATATTGCATGCTCAATTGCTATCCAAGATGTGCCTAATTCAAGAAGAATTGAATACAAGCGCCCATAGAAGTAGCATTGTGTCTTTGCCACGCATTGTGAATGCTTGCGCAATGAAATTATGCAGATTATCTAGATCACCATAATAAATGTTGATCATATACAATATTAAACGATATTAAACTAACATGTTTTCAATAATTCCTTTTACAGATCTTTTTCCAGCCGCCAATTTCAAAATGTAACTGAGAAAACACACTCCAAAAATTATCATTTGCAAACTCGAAATTCAAGTTATAAAAGCAAGAGACAAGATTTAAAGCAATATTTCGACTTTATTTCAGAAACATGGTCAAGCCAAGTGATAATGACTTTGAAATAAAAGTTGAAATATTGCTTTAAAGCCAAGTGATAATGACTTTTAAATAAAAGTTGAAATATTGCTTTAGTCATATTTGATTCAGTTTTTTTAACATTTATATTTGTAATAGATAATAATGATCATAATAAAATACGTTTCTTCCCTGAAATATTGCTTTAAATCTTGTTTCTTGCTAACATAACTCAAATCTTGAGTTTGCAAGATGATGTTTTTTGGAGTGTATTTTCTCCGTTACTTTTACAGATAATTGTGGAGCTTTAACGTTACCTTCTGACTCTTCGGCATCTAATAAGGGAAAACTTTGATTTTTGGCATCACTATTCGAAAAGGAGGAATCTTTAATGTCACTTTCTAAAAAACCAGAATATTGACGTCTGAATAATGTTTATCTTACCATGTTTTCAATTAACCTATTAGTGGAGGCACTGAGATGAAAAACTCTATAATACAGCCTCTGTTGAGAGTCTGTATCTTTGAGTAGCGATAGTCTTAAACGTTACCTTTTGGAAAGAATTTGCCTTGATCCATTTGAGTGGCATGCAAGAAAGATCAAAACTAAAAAATCTGTAATCATAAAATTTATGTATTAAGATGGTACGACAATTGTTCAAAAATCAAAAAATGAAAAGAGTGCAAAATCTCATTGTGAGGCACAATACCATAAACATGATCTAAAAATTCTAAAATATTAAAATGGTGTGCAGCCATTCCCCTTGGAGGGAGTGAAAGAATAATAGAATTTTTGCCACGTTGAATGACACTTGCTTTGTGAAAACGTTTGTAAATAAAGAAAATAGTAGGCGTACAAGACGGGATGCTGCACTAATTTTAACAAGGAAATAGGAAGAAATTTTATTATTGGGCAAACTCTCTTTGACCTTTTCCTTTTCTTTTTTACTTAAACAATGCCGTCGGATAAAAACATTTGCGCGTAGCTTAAATATGTAAAAGCATTTTATCTAAACCATGTTTAGGATGCAGTAACATTAAGGCTTTAAAATTTACCAGGCAATATTTGCCATCCATCATTACGTTTTTCTGGCTTCCACATTTAAATTGAATTAAGTATATATTAGTGAAATAAGTTTCTAGTTTAACGTCGTATGGCAACAGAAAACTACCATGATAAATATTCAAAGTAGGTGTACTAAAACAAGTTCTGTGTTGTTCACTTTGGTCCTGAAATAAAGTCCTGAGAAGGACTGTTTTTGTTGTTGTTGACTGATGTTTCGACAACCTTGGTGGTGTAAGTGGTAAGTGTTTGTAAGTACCACTTACAAACAAATCAAAACACAAGCTACATCCCACTTAAACTTTCATTAAAAAACTGTGCACTATACAAATACCGGACAACTATATACTAGTGTCTTTTGATGTGAAATCACTGTTTACCAGTATCCCACTTAATCTGGCACTTACTTGTACAAAAACCCTCATTACAAACACCACGGACGTACTGCCATTACCGACAGAAGACATTATGTAGCTACTGGAGCTCTGCCTCACCTCGACTTACTTCCAATACAAAGGAACACACTACAAACAATTACATGGGACAGCAATGGGCTCGACTGTTTCTGTTGTAGTTGCTGAAATTGTAATGCAATCTATAGAGGAACGGGCGCTCACGACTTACAAACATGCACTACCTTTTTGGTTTCGCTACGTAGATGACACAATCACAGCACAACATGCAGACGAGATTGATGACTTTCATACTCACATCAACTAACAGAACGGCCACATACAATTTACCAAAGATGTCAAAGCAAACAGAACTCTTCCTTTTCTCCACTGTTTGGTAAAACATGATAATCAAAAACTACGAACAACAGTTTATCGCAAACAAACACACACTGACCGACTACTAGACCAATTATCTTACAACCCTACATCACACAAAGCCACCACAATCAGAACATTAACAAGACGTGCACAAATGATATGTGATTCACCGGACGCTCTACAAAACGAAAACAACTATCTCAAACGTGTTTTTGAAAAAAACAACTATAACTCTGACTTTATCAAACGCAACACTTACAAACCCAACGAACCCAACGAAACGAACAACTCAGTGACAACAGCAACGATACCTTACATCAAAGGTACGTCTTAGACTATCTCGCGTATCTTACGACCATACAACATACGTGTCGCACATAAACCAATCACAACGTTACGACAAGTACTAACAAACATAAAGGACAAAGAACAACCCAACGAACGACAAGGTGCGGTTTACAAAATAAACTGCTCCGACTGCCACGCCTCCTATATCGGGGAAACTGGTAGGAACTTAAACATAAGACTTATTGAACACAAACGAGCTACTAAGAAACAAGACAAAACTAATCACATTGCCGAACATCACCGGATCACAAAGCACAACATTGACTGGGACTCGGCAAAATGCATTACTTACAGTACTGACTATAGACAACGGCTTACTTTAGAAAGTTGGTATACCAACTCGGAACAAACTCCCCCAAGAACAGATCACAGCAATTACCGGCACCTTACAAACAACTTATTCACAATACAAACAAACGATCAACTAAAAACATTACACTTCACACTAATTCAAAATGACAATACACAATTGACACCCACACATTACAACTAAAAACATCACACCTAAATCACACATCACAACTAAAAACATCACACCTAAATCACACATCACAACTAAAAATAAAAATATTTCACTCAACACTAATTCACAATGACAGTACACATTTCCTGTACACACAATACAATGACGTAAGAACCATATAACAAATACGGCTAACCTGACGTTTACTCCTCATTTGACTCTGAAGATGACTACCGCTAAGGTTGTCGAAACGTCAGTCAACAACAACAAAAACAGTCCTTCTCAGGACTTTATTAACCTGGATGATCATCATTTACAAACATGTAACGATACTCCCGGGTTCAAACCATTTACTTTAATAAATTATACCTTTTCATCGTTCTTACATGCTTTGTGCAAGATCTCCAACCAGTTAGAAATGAGTAGCAATCGGTGACCTTTAAGCATATGATAAATGGACAGAATATTTTATCCACAAATAGCTAAGTATGGTACGATGTCAGTTAGTAAAAGTTGAAGTACGTACTTAAGCAATGAATACACAAACATAAAGTATTAAAACAATTTAGCGATATTATTGACGTTATTAATATGTTTTAGACAGCAATCCAGGCATAGAGTGTTTTTTTTACATCAATAAAATTCACGTCGGGCAGTTTTCGTTTTCGTCGGGCAAGAAAGTGTCAGCACCCCCATTTCTTTTTGGCCCCGTACGCGAATGAAAAAAATCCTTTGTTAAAATCATCTAACATGGTAGCCATTCATGACATGACTTGAATAAAAATAAAGCACATTCATCAAAAATCTTACACTATCATAGCTACTTTAGTTAACGCTTTACAAAAATACCAGGAATATAAATTTTTTTCAATGATAAAACGCACAAACTTATCTTTAATTTAAATAAAGTTAAATGCAATGCTTTTCAGCATCAGCAAACAGTCGTTATTGACCACTTTTTATTTTATTCATAAAATGAAATTTGAAAGATTATATAACACTACTTTGTTTTTAATGATGTAAATAAGCTGATACATTCGTAAAATTGTATATCACTACATTTATCTACGTTCCC